CAAGAAAGGCGGGGGTAAAGGGGAACCCCTGTCCAAAAAAAAAAAAAAAAAAAAAAAAAAAAAAAAATCACTTCCTTATTTTAAAATAAAACTAACAGCTCTATTTTTTAGCAACTCATCAACCTTACATATATGCCAACTTGGAAAAGGTTTCTGCAGCAGATGAGTTGATGAATGCACACGTTAACTCATAGACCTCAGGTGTGAGCTGAACCTTGCCTGTCAGTCCTCTGACAGCACGCATCACATACTGTTTTCTCTGAGATCATCTGGCACCCAGTATTTCATTTTAAGAGCGGCAGTTAAGAAAAGGGGACGAAAATGTTTATCTATGGCTTAGAATCCCCTAAAATTCATGAGTCGGACATTTTAACCAAATATAGGCCTTTTGGTGATCAAGTTCATTTACTCTTTTACTGTGTAACATCCTGTTTATAAGAAAAAAAAAAAAGACATTAAATGTCAGCTTGAGCATAAACTAGCTGTCCTCAAATCAACATCTCAGTGAACTTATGTGTTAAGTCCCAAGTATTTGGATGAAGATTTTTGGTGAGAGAGAGAGAGAGAGAAAGAAAGAGAGAGAAGAGTACTTGAGAAAAGCCATTTCTGTTTCACTGAAATAGAAACAATTGAAAAATGGAATTTTCTGATGAGTCTATCGTATAATAGGTTTACAGACACACACACACACACACACACACACACACATATCTGAGGTCAGTTCTGTGAATGTGTTGAGCTACATTCCCCAGGAGCCAAGCCAAGCCTCAGCAATCACCGAGATACACTTAATCCTCATGATCTCTCTAAGAACTAATTATGTATCTTTGCATTTAGTGTATGTGTATAAACACAAACATTCCACAGCATGTGTGGAGGTCAGAGACCTACTTGTGGGCATCACTTTATCCTTTCATCACGTGGGATCTATGGATTAAACTCAGGTTATCAGACTTGGTGGCATGTGCCTTTCCCCCACAGACCCAGCTCCACGGCCCCAGGAATTGATTTTTTAAAATAAAATTCTGTATAATGAAAATGTTCAGCAACACTTTGAAGGGTAGCACTCCCTTTGAATAGATGGTCTTCTGAGCATCGTTTTCCCCAAGAGAAAGCTGAATGTGTTACAGATCTACATTATTTACCTGTCTGAACCTCCCTCCCTTTTTCTACTCTGGTTTTACGTTGGAAAGCATCTTTGCGGGGTATCCGAAGTCTAATTCGTGTAGAGGAATGTTACATTAATATTTTGTTTGAATCTAATGTGTACTCGGTATTTACTAGCTCTGGGTTGGATTTCTGTGAACCATGTTCCCCAACTGAGTATCCTGACCTCTGTGGAGTTAGTCCTAGATGCTTAAGCCCCACTCGGCCCCATGCAGTGTTAGACCGAGATCCTGCTGGGTGTTTGCCCCCATTTGTCCCCATAGCACCCCATAGCACTGTCATGTCCCAGTTTAAACTGTCAATGTCACTAATCCATCAACTGTTAAGTTACTGTGTGGTCTAGGTATTGTGGTCTTTAGAGACACTTCTGTGGCTGTGATGTCATCACTCCCTGCTCAGCTGCTTCCGTGCCTCTCCTTCCCATGCCTGTAATTTCCCAGTTACTTCCAAATGGAAATTTCTTGCGGGGCTTCTCTGCCACTCAGCCCCTTCTGATCCTACTCTCAAACGTGAACAGAGGACCTCTTTCTCCGTGAGTGTAACCTGCTCCCCTCTGAGCTCAGATCCAGCCTTTATCATCTGACACAGCCTCCTCCTCTCCAGTCTTCACTTGGCCTTGGCGACTCCCTGGCTCCATTTGTATGTTCCTGATGCACCACAGGAATCCTCTGAAAGAGGATGTGTTCTCAGTGCCTGGCTGATCTTGATTTTGGCACCCCGTCTACCTTCTCACCGCCCCACTTCCAGATATCAAAATCATTTCTTCTGTGTTCTAACATGGTGCCATTTTAGTTTCTTTAGTGCTGCTGGATATGCTCTATAGTGAGCAGTTGTCTCTGTGAGGCTTTCTTGTTTAACTGCGTGTGTGTAAATGTTATGTGAGTGTGTGTTTGAGTGTGCACACATGTAGGTCAGAGGTCAGAGGTCAACCTCACGTGTTGGTTCTTTCTGTCCTTTTTTCTTTTTTTTTTTCTCTTTTGAGACAGTCTCTTGTGGTTTGCTGCTGCACATACCGGGCTGGTTGGTCCACACCGGGCTGCGGGCTGGCTGGTCCACACCGGGCTGGCTGGCCCACACTGGGCTGCTTGGTCCACACCGGGCTGGCTGGCCCAGGTGCTGCTGGGACCTCTTGTCTTCCCCACCAATCTCTTGGTAGGAATGCTGGGATTACAGCTGTGAGCAATGGTGCGTGGCCTTTACGTGGGCTTTGGGGACTTAGATTCATGAGCACTGTGGGAATTCCTCTGGCAAGTTGGGGGAAATGATGGCAACATCCCCCAAATGGCTGTGTTTCTTCTCAGACCTGTCACAGCACTGCCTCTGGCCCTTGTTACCAACCCATCTTTTGTATGAGCTGAAAATAGGAACCGTCTCTGGAATCACTCTCTGTTCGGTTCGGTGTTAGATAGGTTGGACAGCACGCCCTGACTGGGAGCCAGGTACACAGGCTTCGTCCCCTGTATGGCATGAAAAGCTTAATCACTAACTTCTGCTCCTTTTTTAATTGTTATTTTCATTTTATGTGTATGGGTATATTGCTGGTATGTGTGTGTGTAAGTGCACCTGTGTCGTGCAATGCCCAGGGAAGTCAGGAAAGGATATCGAATTCCCGTGGTACTGGAGCTATGGATGGTTGTTAGCCACCATGTGGGTGCTGGGAACCAAACCCAGGTCCTCTGCAAGAGCAGCCAGTGGTCTTAATCACTGAGCCCTCTGTCCAGCCCTAACTTCTACTTCTTAAGATCAAAATGGAAAGAAGCATTCAGTACACAGAATAATTGAGGGCTAGACTAGTTGAGACAGATCACAGGTGACAAAAGAAACAGGAAGCAAGGACAGGAAAACAAGCAGGAAAAGCAAGGTGCTTCCTTGAGAAGCACGTCTTAAGCTTGTTCAATGAGAAAGTCAGTGCGAAGGAAAAGCAGGGCCAGTGCGGTGATTCGATTTCTGTCATGGGAAACAAAGTTCAGCTAAGGATTGGATCACATCTCTAGATCATGGACTTTGAGGACTGTGAACGTCGTGCTCTCTGTTTTCACAGGTGGGTCAGACATCGAATATCTCGACTTCTACAAGCCTGTGGTGTGGTTCTGGATCCTGGTAGGCCTGGCCTACTTTGCTGCTGTTCTGAGCATGATTGGGGATTGGCTGCGGGTGATTTCCAAGAAGACGAAGGAAGAGGTGAGGGTTAGGAGTGTGCAAACACATCCACACATGGAGCCTTCAGTGAAGGACTTCTTAAAGAGTTTTTTTAAATTTATATCCTAAATATTTAAACGTTAATATTTGCATTAGCATAAGATGTAATTTAAAACGTTTTCCTCATGTATTCTTCGGTTTCCTTTATTTTTTTTTTTCACTCAAGGGTACAAAGTGAAGTTTATTCCATAAAAAATACAATATAATAGAAAATATTTGGGTCTGAGAATGTATCTCAAAGGTAGAATACTTTGTAGCATGTGTGAGGCTCTGAGCTCTGTTCTTACCACCCCCCCCCAATTGTGTCAATGCATCAGAAGAATGAAACAGGGAATGTTTTATAAGTTGATTTCCTTTTCTCTTGTGTACGTAAATGTACATATGCATTCCAAAACCGTGTTCATTATGGCTCTTTCCTCTGTGAACGTACTTCAAATATTTATAATTTTATTGATTTTGTACAGCAAAACATAATGAACTTGGGAATTTTGATACATGAAATTCTGGAAATTTGGAAAATATTTTGTTTATTATTTTTGTTTTATACATATAGGTATGTTGCCTGTGTGTGCCTGAGTGTACCCACCATGTCATGCAATGCTTGCAGAGGTCAGAAGAGGGTGTAGGAGCCCCATGAACTGGAGTTACAGATGGTAGTTAGCCGCCATGTGAGTGCTGGGGACCTTACCCAGGTTCTCTGTAAGAGCAGCCAGTGCTCTTAACCACTGAGCCATATCTCCAGCCCCCAAATTCTGGAAATTTTAAATTTTAATCGCTGATTTTGAAATCCCCATCCTTTGGATATTAAATTTTGATTTCTTATTTATATGTCCAGAAATATGCCTGGTTGGAGGATGACAGAGTTGCTTTTGTAAATGTATTTTGTATTTATTTTCTCCTGGGTCTTGGCCAGCTTTGCTGAGTGCTTAAGGGACTAGCAGGTCTGTACAGTCTGTACCTTTGCTGTTCATTTGCCTTCATTTAATTATAGTCTGTGTTTCCTTAACTGCACTCCATAGGCCAAAGTACACCGGTACTGAATCTTTGATTCTTCCAGTATGCTTTCCTTAACATATAACTGAAAGAAAGGCATCAAGACATTTTGAATTTAATTTCTTTACAAACGTTGTCTTTTCTATATTAGTTGTATCATAAAACCACAATCTTTGTATTGTGAGCAAATCATCAAAACAATATTCATAATGTGTTAAATGGGGTTAAAAAGTTCTTTTTTCAGGGGGTTCCAATGAATCTACCTAAATCTTTGGCTTGGTGTGTGTGTGTGTGTGTGAAAAATGTGTGTTTATATGTGTGTAGGAGGGAGGGGGAGACAATGAAAGTGAGGGAGGAAGAGAAAGATTTATTTTAACTCCTTGTGAATCAAGGGAATTTCTGGCAAAGTTTTAGATAGCATAGTTAAAATGAGAACCATGACTCCTATCCTCAGGCCTCTTGGGGTAACTCTATAGCGCAGCCCTCCGCGCCTTGACTCCCCAAGCCACATTCACCCTTCCATCTCCCCTGCTGTTCGCTACTCCCAGTTTGGGACCTGCGCCATTCCTAGTCTTGGGGCCCCAGACACCTGGGGAACCAATACTGCTTCCTGATCCTTCTCACTCAGACCAACTGAGTGCCTTTCTTGGGCCCCAGGAGCACTGCTTCTGGTCCTGGTCCCGCCCTCACCTCTCTCTGCGTCCCTGGACCTGCACTACCAGCTAACTCTCCTAGCCTGCACTCCTATCCTCAGGCCTTTTGGGGTAAGTCTATAGCGCAGCCCTCCTCGCCTTGACTCCCAAAGCCACATTCACCCTTCCATCTCCCCCATTGTTCGCTACTCCTAGTTTGGGACGTGCGCCATACCTAAACTTGGGGCCCCAGACACCGGGGGAACCAATAATGCTTCCTGACCCTTCTCACCCAGACCAACTTAGTGCCTTTCTTGGGCCCCAGAGGCACCACTTCTGGACCTGGCCCCGCCCTCATCTCCCTCTACTTCCCTGGTCCTGCAACCCCTGCCAGTCTCTTGCTGGGGCTGACAGCCTCTTTCTGGGGCTCCGAGGCTTACCTTTCCTCTCCCTGATCCTTTGCACCCAGTACAACCCAGCTACTCAATCCACTCCCTGGGAAATCTTGGGGCTTCTTCCCTCCCCATCTGCCTTTGCATCCCTGCGTGGCGCAGCCACGGCAAGGATCTCAAGTCAGTGCCACCCAAGTTCCTGAGGCCAAAAGCATTCTTAGAAGATTCCAGACCTAAGGAGAAAATCTGAAAACTTCTGACCCACATTGGAATTGGGCCACCGTGGAACTCCTGAAGACAAAATC